GCAGGGGATGGCTAGTAATACATAAATAGAGTCAGATTTCTACTATGCCTCACAAGGCTTTAATATATAACTTTGTAAAGAGTTTAGGCTAGCAGTGAGTCCCACACTAATGGATGTCCACTTTCATTCCCCTGCGTTTTGCTAGATGCATCCATCTGGTTGCCCATGAGGAGTGTGCATTCAAGGCATCAGTTCTGGCACACAACAGTTTGACTCAGCTGGCTTCTGGGGACCACATGCCGGGCGAGTGGCTCCATCCTTTGAGGCTATAGCCAGAAAGCGGAAGGGTGATCTGTGTGATTGTTGGAGGAAGGAAGGGAGGAAGGAAAAGAGGACCTGGAGCAGGGTCGTGCTCCCAGATGCCCAGGACTGAGGGCCCCATTGTGTGCCTTGGCACCAGGCCCTGGCTTGGCCTTACATCCCGGAAGGCGGTCGTTTTGCGCCGGACACGGCACCGCTGACGGCAAGCGGCGTCAGAGCAGAGGCAGCCGGTGCGCATGAAGCCTCCCATGCGCTGACCCCAGAGCCAGCCAGGAGCTCGCCTGAACTCTCCCCTCTCCCTCCTCCTCTGTGGACATTGCCATGTGTCCCAGCCAAGGGCACTGACCCTAGCAATATTGGTGCCCGCTTTGTGCCATGCTCTTTGCCCCACATTCACAACTGTGGGGTCCCCTATGGGTCCCTCTCCTCGGGGGTCTCTTTCTGCTCTGCCAGGGCCCGGGGCCAGGTGCCGGTGGGAGCCGAAGTGCCCTGGAATGGCGCAAACACAGGCACATTGTTTGGCCAGGGTGGGCGGAAGTCCGGGCAGCCGCCGCTCTGAATGCTAAAATACGTTGTTTGGGGCCCAATAAAAGGCCCCATTGTATGCAAAAGAGTTTATAAAGCAGCATATGACTTCCCCGAGGTGCAAGGCACAGTCTGTGGGGGCCCCAGATACTGGAAACAGAGCTGGAGAAGGAGACGGAGGCTGCTTCGGGAAGGAAGGAAGGAAGGAAGGAAGGAAGGGAAGGAAGGAAGGAAGGTAAAACCCTCCTGGGCAGGTGGGCCTCCCTGGTCCCATATTAAGGACATTAGGGGCAGAAGGGAGGGGGATCTGGTCAGTGGTTTGGGAGGGATAGCCAATACTCCAGAGGACAGGAGCAGGATTCAAAACGATCATGACAGATTAGAGAGATGGGCCAAAACTAACAAAATGAAGTTCAACAGGGACAAATGCAAGATACTCCACTTAGGCAGAAAAAAGGAAATGAAAGGATACAGAATGGGGGACAATGCCTGGCTCGAGAGCAGTACGTGTGAAAAAGATCTTGGAGTCCTCGTGGACAACAAGTTAAACATGAGCCAACAATGTGATGTGGCGGCAAAAAGCCAATGGGATTTTGGTCTGTATCAATAGGAGTCTAGTGTCTAGATCTAGGGAAGTCATGCTACCCATGCTCTATTCTGCCTTGGTGAGACCACACCTGGAATATTGTGTCCAATTCTGGGCACCACTAGTATTATTATTATTATTATTATTATTATTATTATTATTATACTTTATTTGTACCCCGCTAGCATCTCCCGAAGGACTCAATGCGGCTTACAAAGGCCAAGGCCTCAATACACAACATAACAATACAAAACCTAGAGCAAATTAAAAACAATTAAAGCAATATAAACAACAAGCAATAAACAATACACTAAGACACAATAAAACTGGGCCGGGCCAGAGTAATGGGTACAGAATTAAAAGTGCTGATGTGACAGGTGGTATATAAGGCTTATAGGGTAAGTGCAGTGTGCAGTGTGCGGCAATCTTAGTTCTAATAAAGTGCTTCTGGGACTTGGTATTGGAGATTTCCTATTCTGGGAAGGCACAATTGAAGAGAGATATTGACAAGCTGGAATGTGTCCAGAGGAGGGCGACTAAAATGATCAAGGGTCTGGAGAACAAGCCCTATGAGGAGTGGCTGAAAGAGCTGGGCATGTTTACCCTGAAGAAGAAAAGGCTGAGAGGAGATATGATAGCCATGTATAAATATGTGAGAGGAAGCCACAGGGAGGAGGGAGAAAGCTTGTTTTCTGCTTCCATGGAGACTAGGACGCGGAACAATGGCTTCAAACTACAAGAAAGGAGATTCCATCTGAACATTAGGAAGAACTTCCTGACTGAGAGCTGTTCAGCAGTGGAACTCTCTGCCCCGGAGTGTGGTGGAGGCTCCTTCTTTGGAAGCTTTTAAACAGAGGCTGGATGGCCATCTGTCAGGGGTGTTGAATGCAATATTCCTGCTTTTTGGCAGGGGGTTGGACTGGATGGCCCATGAGGTCTCTTCCAACTCTATGATTCTATGATTCTATTAAACATCCTTTACAATTACTCCTTTACTGTCCCACATTTCGTCTGTTTTTGAAATGTCCCGGTTTCTCTGTCTCCCACTTTCCCGCTTTCCCCCTTCATCTTCAATCTTGTTAGTGCCTGTCCTCAGCAAATGGTCTGTATGGGGTTGTTTGTGATAATATGGATTGAGGATGCTCTCCTAGGAAGTTCAAAGCATCTCCCATGCCTGGTTTTGAAATGGAACTGTCTGGAGTTGAGATTGCTGTACTCATTTATGAATTGGAGGGGTCCTGGTTTGGGAGGAGAGGCAGGGAGACTTCGGACAATCCTCATCAGTTGCCACTCGGTCCAAGAACTGTTCAGCACAGAATGAATGCAAGGAGCTCTCTGTCTGGTCCAGCTCTTCTGCAAGGCACATAGTTCTCATGGCAAGAAAGGGAGGAAGGAAGGAAGGAAGGAAGGAAGGAAGGAAGGAAGGAAGGAAGGAAGGAAGGAAGGAAGGAAGGAAGGAAGGAAGGAAGGAAGGAAAGAGAGAGATGTCTCAAAGCAGTACAACTCCATGGCTAGAAAACAGGGCAGATATAGGTAGAATCATAGAATCAAAGAGTTGGAAGAGACCTCATGGGCCATCCAGTCCAACCCCATTCTGCCAAGAAGCAGGAAAATTGCATTCAAATCACCCCAACAGATGGCCATCCAGCCTCTGTTTAAAAGCTTCCAAAGAAGGAGCCTCCACCACACTCCAGGCAGAGAGTTCCACTGCTGAACAGCTCTCACAGTCAGGAAGTTCTTCCTCATGTTCAGATGGAATCTCCTTTCTTGTAGTTTGAAGCCATTGTTCCGCGTCCTAGTCTCCAGGGAAGCAGAAAACAAGCTTGCTCCCTCCTCCCTGTGACTTCCTCTCACATATTTATACATGGCTATCATATCTCCTTTCAGCCTTTTCTTCTTCAGGGTAAACATGCCCAGCTCTTTCAGCCACTCCTCATAGGGCTTGTTCTCCAGACTTTTGATCATTTTAGTCGCCCTCCTCTGAACACATTCCAGTTTTGTGGCTGCCACAAACTCTTGAATTGGTTGAGATTGGTTGAGATATTCATTGAAAAACTAGAGCAGAATGTGCTAAAGAATGTCCCGCTGGGTGAGTGGGCTTATTAACAAAATACCATCTCTATAAATGTACAGCAGAGCAACTTATTAGGAGCAGCGTGACCCAGCACGAGTAGCTTAAAGTGATAAAAACAAAATCAAACAGACCAGTGTTATCTCTTCCATAGGAAGTTTTTCTTTACAGCAGAATAATATGACTGTACTATTTACAAGAACAAGGTTTCCATAACACAAATGAAGTAACACAACCTTCACACTGGAGCTTTACACACGAGGCCTTCAACCTCAGGCTTCCCCTCACCGTAGCTTCTCACACCAGTCTTCTCACAGACTGAGGTCTACCTCATACAGAGGCTTCTCTCATAGACTAAGGACTACCTCACACTGTGAGGGCTTCTCACAGACCGAGACCTTTCTCCCACTGAGGTTTACCTCAGACTGATGGCTACTAAGCTACAGGCACACCTGCTTACCGTATATACTCGAGTATAAACCAAGTTTTTCAGCCATTTTTAGGCTGAAAAAACTCCCCTCAGCTTATACTCGAGTCAAAGTTATTTATTATTTTACTGAGTTATGGTTATTACTTTTATTGCATTTATTATTTTACTCTATTATTGTTATTATTAAGGCGCCCCCGGTGGCATAGTGGGTTAAACCCCTGTGACGGCAGGACTGAAGACCGACAGGTCGCAGGTTTGAATCCGGGAAGAGGGGAATGAGCTCCCTTTACCAGCTCCAGCTCCTCATGCGGGGACATGAGAAAAGCCTCCTACAAGGATGATAAAACATCAAATCATCCGGGCGTTCCCTGGGCAACATCCTTGTAGACAGCCAATTCTCTCACACCAGAAGTGACTTGCAGATTCTCAAGTCTCTCCTGACACAACAAAAAATGTTATTACAATTATTATTATTATTATTATTATTATTATTATTATTATTATTTTACAGTATTATTACTGGTATTACATTTCCATTATTTTACTCTATTATTATTATTATTATTATTATTATTATTACATTTATTATTTTACTCTATTATTATTGGAAAGATACGTAAGCACATTTACATTAAAGGTTAGAATAATGGTCTAATCAGAATTAAACAGTCTAATCTTAAATTATATTTTTATATAAACATTCAAAAACATTTAACCTACCAATGCCTCAATTAATATAATTTTATTGGTATCTATTTTTATTTTGAAATTTTCCAGTAGCTGCTGCATTTCCCACCCTCGACTTATACTCGAGTCAAAATGTTTCCCTAGATTACTGTGGTTAAAATTAGGTGCCTCAGCTTATATTCAGGTTGGCTTATACTCGATTATATACAGTAGCTTCTCACACCAGGCCTTCTCACAGACTAAGATCTACCTCATACAGAGGCTTCTCTCACAGACTAAGGCCTACCTCACACTGTGAGGCCTTCTCATAGACTTTCTCCCACTGAGGTTTACCTCAAACCGACAGCTACTAAGCTTCAGGCACACCATGTATCTCTGAAATGGTTCTGTGCCCCATTCCTGATCCCTAACCAGGACTTCTCCCCTTTCTTCCTCTCCAGGTCTGAGGCGCCATGAAGTGGGAGGGCTTCTATGCCATCGTTATTGGGGTGAACCGCCATGCCACAGCCATCGGGCGCATCTGGTTCTCGGTGGTCTTCATCTTTCGCATCATGGTACTGGTGGTGGCGGCTGAGAGCGTCTGGGGTGATGAGCAGTCCTCCTTCACCTGCAACACACAACAGCCCGGTTGCAAGAACGTCTGCTATGACTACTACTTCCCCATCTCCCACATCCGTCTCTGGGCCCTGCAGCTCATCCTGGTGACCACACCGGCCTTGCTGGTGGCCATGCATGTGGCCTACCAGCAACATCAAGAGAAGAAGTTCCTGGTCATAACCGGCCATGCTGACGCCAAGCACTTGGAGGAAGTCAAGAAGCACAAGATGCGGATCTCTGGCTCGCTGTGGTGGACCTACGTCTGCAGTGTGATCTTCCGCATCATCTTCGAGGCCACTTTCATGTACATCTTCTACATGGTCTACCCGGGCTACCAGATGATCCGCCTGGTCAAGTGCGACGTCTACCCATGCCCCAACACAGTCGACTGTTTCATCTCACGGCCCACTGAGAAGACCATCTTCACTGTCTTCATGCTGGCCACCTCCGGCATCTGCATCGTCCTCAATGTGGCCGAGGTGGTGTACCTCCTCATCCGGGCCTGCGCCCGCCGTGTCCAGAAGCCCCACAACCCTTCCTCGGGCAAGGGCTCCTTCCTGGGCCATAAGCTCTCCTCTGAGTACAAGCAGAATGAGATCAACCAGCTGCTGACGGAGCAGGACGGCTCCCTCAAGGACATTCTCCGGCGAAACTCGGGGCTCCAGGAGAAGGGGGACCGCTGCTCGGCCTGCTGAGGGCCATTGGGGACATAGGAGGAGGGGGACCCCCTTCTGTGGGCCCCTAAGGCCTCCTGAGACTTGCCACACTCATGCACTGCCATGCGTACTTCCATGACCAATGCCATCTTCCCAAAGACCTCCTTTGGTGGACTGTTGTGGTCTCCCTAGCCACCTGGCATCTACCACATTCTCAATGACTTCCCAAAGTCCCCTTTTCTGTTGCCTTCATGCTGCCATGTGGCCGTTGCTACAGTCACATCTTCCCACTGCTAGGCCTCTCTTGGTCCCTGCTTCAATAGGGGACCATTGGCCAGAACCTGCCTACGTGGATGTGATAGGAATGGGGACCGTCACCTCAATGTAGCCACTCTTCTTTGGCCTGTGGAGAGCAGTATTCCTTGCAGCGTCAAGGCACAACAATGCCCTTTCCACCTGCAAAACCCTTTCTCCTCCTCTGTTTCCTCCATATCTCCCACTCACGGCGGCCATAGCACTCCCAGCTTCTTGGGCTCAGCAGGGAAAAGTGAACTGTAGCATCAAGCCCAGCATGGCACAATCTTGTCCCTGTGTTTGCTCTTTGGGAGTCATTGGAATGACGTTCAGACCCACTGCTTGGTTCCTTGCACATTGAATTTTCTATCCTGGGTCTGCCTTGAGTTGAAGACACCTGGAAACATTTGCAGCCATACTCAATGCAAGGTGGTTGCTTTTTGCAGCAGGGTTTCTGTGACCTGGATGGGTGCAACAAGGAGACGTGGAAAGGATGGGGCTTCTCCCGGTTGCTGACATTGCCTTGCATGGTGTTCCCAATGTGGAGGTCTCCCACTGGGAAATGGTGCCAGGTCAATGCTCTTCTTTAGCAGGGTACAAGGAGAGCGCCCAGGCTGCTGGAGTCGTCACTTGCTGCAAAACACACTGTACCAAAGCAGTTGCAGTATTAAAATGGTTTTACAGTTCTTGCCTGCTGTTTTCCTTCTGCACATTTGAATGGAGCGTCTTGGAGGTTGCCATTTCGGTGTTGAGCTGGACCCAGACTACCAATGTAGTTTAGGAACAACATCTTAGAAAAGGCATTCAGGGAGTACGATATTTGGGGAACCACCCTAACCACTTCATCACACTTACTAAATTCCACTGAGTGTTACACTTAAAATCCGGGAAGCCACTCCTGCCATCGCATTCGATTGCCTTCAAGTGTAGGATAGAGCATTCTTTGAGTATTTTAAGCAGGGGCGGCTCGTCCATTACGCGAAATAAGCAGTCGCAGAACGCTTTTTGTTTGCCAGGGGCGCAGAGGCGCCTCTGTAAATGCCCCTTGACTGCGACTTGAGGAGCACCACCTCAGCTCACAACAGCCCTAGCAGTCCGGGGGGAGCCTCGGCTTTCTTGCCTCACTGCCGGGCGATCCTCTTCCCAAAGGGGCCAGGCCCTTGAGCCTCGCCTAGTCCCTCTCGTTCCTGCTCCACCCGGCCACCAGGTGTGCGAGCAGAGCCGGCGCTCAATCGTTCTCTGTGTTCGATCCCTTCCCCATGACCAGCTCCCTTTTCCTGATCCCCCGGCGCTCCACCCGCCTCTCCTCCTCTCCCCCTCTTTCCTCTCTCCGGACCGCTTCAGGTCCGGAGGCGTGTCTGAAGACCCCAGCGTGAGCACCAAAAGTCGCCTCTTCTCCTGACTTTCTCTTCAGCCATTGGGACCAGAGAGAGAGAGAGAGAGCCCCTCCGGCTGGAGGTATCTCCCACCTCCGCTCCCTCCTTTGTTTTTGCGCCTACCTTCAGGAAAGGTGGGCATCTCCACCTCTCTCTCCTCTCTCTCTCTTGGTCCCAATGGCTGAGGAGAAAGTCAGGAGAAGAGGTGACTTTTGGTGCACACGCCGGGGTCTTCAGGCACGCCTCCGGATCCAAAGCGGGCCAGGCAAGGGAGCAAGTGCGGCAAGTGTAGTTACTGGGATGTATAGTTCACCTACAATCAAAGAGCATTCTGAACTCCACCAATGATGGAATTGAACCAAATATGGCACACAGAACTCCCACGACAAACAGAAAATATATATCAATGATTGGTTGGGTGGGGGGGCCAAAATACTGTTTGCTTACCGTTGAAAATTACCTAGGGCCACCTCTGATTTTAAGCATGAGGGCCAGCGTTCTTTCAAAATGTTTCATGAGATGGTGGGGAAGTGGATTTTTTTGAAATCATCTGGATGTTTGGCCATTTCTGTAATGTGATGGCATTAGTTGCTCCCAGGTTTACAATGAAACGTTTCCCCAATTTGTGGGAGGAGCCAAAAGTACCCTTGTTAGGGAAAGCATTACCTTTTGTTCACCAAGTTTTCACAATTTCTTTTTTTTAAAATAGCCTTTCTGGGTTTTTTCCTTCCCTTCCTTCTATGATATGTCTGTGCCTTGTGTTGAATGAGAAAGCCAAAAGAGAAGGATTATTATTATTATTATTATTATTATTATTATTATTATTATTATTATGTGAAACCCTTGTGCCGGCAGGACTGAAGACCGACAGGTTACAGGCTCAAATCCTGGGGAGAGCACGGATGAGCTCCCCCTATCAGCTCCAGCTCCCCATGCGGGGACATGAGAGAAGCCTCCCACAAGGATGGTAACATCAAAAACATCCGGCGTTCCCTAGGCAACATTCTTGCAGACAGCCAATTCTCTCACACCAGAAGCGACTTGCAGTTTCTCAAGTCACTCCTGACACGACAAAAGAAAATGCGATGTCTCCATGCTGTGCAGTCCTGGGAGTTACAGTTTCCCAAGGTCCATGCCCTTCTCTTGCTGCATTTACACTAATTGAATGAATGCTCTTGGACCCCACTTTAAATACCATAGCTGCATACTATGCAGTTATAGTTTCATATGTAGTTATATATGAGAGTTAGTTTCCCAAGGTCCATACCGTTCTCTGGTTGCATTTGCACTGGAGAATAAATGCAGTCGGGACTAATTTCAAATGCCATTATTATTATTATTATTATTATTATTATTATTATTATTATTAATATTATTATGCCATATCTCCATGCTGTGCAGTCCTGGGAGTCTCTTGGTGCATTTACAGTATGGAATGTGTGCCCTTGCACCCCTCTTTAAATGCCATGGCTCCATGCAATGGAGTCCCCCTGGGAGTTATAGTTTCCCAAGGTCCATGCCCTTCTCTTGATGCATTTACACTAATTGAACGAATGCTCTTGGACCCCACTTCAAATACCATAGCTACATACTATGCAGTTATAGTTTCATATGTAGTTATATATGAGAGTTATAGTTTCCCAAGGTTCATACCCTTGGTTCATAACCAAAGAACTAGTCAAAACCGAAAGCCTCTTCACATGTGCTTATCTTCCGTTGCTGAGACTGGCAACTCCCTTCTGTTCTCAGCAAGAACAAACCTTATAAACATTTCTGCATGGCATTTCCAATTCACAGTGGTATCCATCTTGGCAATACATAGAAGCACATTGAAAAACACATACATAACTAAATTAATCCTGACATAATACAGTACAATAATTAAAATGAATAACAATTTTAACAAATATAAACTTATTCGTATTTCAATGGGAAGTCTGGGCCTGCTTTTGCCTGATGATATAGGATTGTTGTTGTTGTTGTTGTTGTTATGTGCTTTCAAATCGTTTCAGACTTAGGTTGACCCTGAGCGAGGGCCGGGTAAATAAGCTTGGAGGGCCATATCTGGCCCCCGGGCCTTAGTTTGAGGGGTGCAGATTAGGCGAGGGCTCTTTGTTGCAGGTGAACTATAAATCCCAGCAACTGCATATCCCAAATGTCAAGGTCTATTTTCCCCAAACTCCACCAGTGTTCACATTGGGGCATATTGAGTATCTGTGCCAAGTGTGGTCCAGATCCATCATTGTGTGAGTCTGCAATGCTCTCTGGATGCAGGTGAACTACAACTCCCAAACTCAAGGTCAGTGCTCACCAGACCCTTCCAGTATTTTTCGTTGGTTGTGGGAGTTCTGTGTGCCAAGTTTGGTCCAATTCCATCATTGGTGGAGTTCAAAATGCTCTTTAATTGTAGGTGAACTATAAATCCCAGCAACTACAACTCCCAAATGACATAATCAATTTTCCCTCCAACCCCACCAGTATTCAAATTTGGGCATATTGGATAACGTAAGGTAAAAGTTTTCCCCTGACATTAAGTCCAGTCGTGTCCAACTCTGGGAGTTGGTGCTCAATTTCTAGGCCAAAGAGCCGGTGTTGTTCATAGACACCTCCAAAGTCATGTGTCTGACATGACAGCATGGAGTTCTGTTGTTGGGTATTTGTGCCAAATTTGGTCCAGTGAATGAAAATACATCCTGCATTTCAGATTTTTACATTATGATTCATAACAGTAACACAATAATAATTAGGAAGTAGCAATAATAATAATTTTATGGTTGAGGGTCACCACAACGTGAGGCACTGTATTAAGGGGTCGCGGCATTACGAAGGTTGAGAACCACTGCCTTAGCCGGTTGATCCCTCAGGTGGGACTCATAAGAGGGAAGCAAGGCCGGTTCACGAGAGGAGGAGGCCGCTACGAGACGCCACTCTCCTTCCATTCCAAAGTCACTTTGCTGGGAGGCAGAGGGTGGTGAAAGGCGCATGGCTCCCTCGGCGCATGAGGGCCATGAAGGGCCTTCCAAGAGCACCGCGTGGCTCCTGGAGGCAAGCCGTTCCAAGGCCCCCCTCCCTGCCTAAATATAACCTTGCTGCCCGGCCCATTCACCCTGCAGGAGGGACTATAATTAACCAAGGACCCGGTCCAAAAATAAAAAGGCCCGTGCCCTACCCCCTGTCTCTCCCCCTCCTCTCTCTCTTGGCCAGGCACATTCGCTTAGTGGACGGCACACGGGTCAGTCATGAAGCTCTGATGGCAACAAATCTTGGATGAGACCAACGTCCGTTGCAGAAATGGGCCTCTTTTGGAGCCGTCACCCAAGACTGCTGCCCTTCAACCTCCTTGGACAGAAATCCTGAGTTTGGGATGGGAACGGCTTAGCCTTGGAGCCTCCCCACCTAGAAGGGGTGAGTTTCCTCACAGCTAGTTATAGACCCCTCTCCTCGTCATCCTCAGCATCTTCCCAATCCCAATAGAGCAGTGGTTCACCACCTTCCTAATGCCGTGACCCCTTAATACAGTTCCTCGTGTTGTGGTGACCCCCAACCCTAAAATTATTTTCATTACTACTTTCATAACTGTAATTTTGCTATTGTTATGAATTGGAATGAAAATATCTGATATGCAAGATGCATTTTCATTCACTGGACCAAATTTGGTACACATACCCGATATGTCCACATTTGAAGACTGGTGGGGTTGTGGAGGGATTGATGTTGTCATTTGGGAGTTGTAGCTGCTGGGATTTATAGTTCACCTACAATCAAAGAGCATTCTGAACTCCACCAACCAAACTTGGCACACAGAACTCCTATGACCAACAGAAAATATTGGAAGGGTTTGGTGCAAATCAACTTTGAGTTTTGGAGTTGTAGTTCACCTACATCCAGAGAGCACTATGGACTCAAGCAAGGATGGATCTGGACCAAACTTGGCACGAATACTCAATATGCCCAAATTTGAACACTGGTGGAGATTAGGGGAAAGTAGACCTTCATATTTGAGAGTTGTAGTTATTGGGATTTAACCAAAGAGCATTCTGACCTCCACCAATGAAGGAATTGAGCCAAGCTTGGCACACAGAACTCCCATGACCAACAGAAAATACTGGAAGGGTTTGGTGGACATTGACCTCGAGTTTTGGAGTTGTAGTTCACCTACATCCAGAGAGCACTATGGACTCAAGCAAGGATGGATCTGGACCAAACTTGGCACGAATACTCAATATGCCCAAATGTGAACACTGGTGGAGATTGGGGGGAAATAGACCTTCACATTTGGGAGTTGTAGTTGCTAGGATTTATAGTTCACCTACAATCAAAGAACATTCTTACCTCCACCAATGAAGGAATTCAGCCAAGCTTGGCACACAGAATTCCCATGACCAACAGAAAATACTGGAAGGGTTTGGTGGCCATTGACCTCGAGTTTTGGAGTTGTAGTTCACCTACATCCAGAGAGCACTATGGACTCAGGCAAGGATGGATCTGGACCAAACTTGGCACAGATACTCAATACGTCCAAATGTAAACAGTGGTGGAGTTTGGGGAAAATAGACCTTCACATTTGGGAGTTGTAGTTGCTAGGATTTATAGTTTATCTGCAATCAAAGAGCATTCTGAACCCAACCAACAATAGAATTGGGCCAAACTTCCCACACAGAACCCTCATGACCAACAGAAAATACTATGTTTTCTGATGGTCTTCGGTGACCCCTCTGACACCCCCTCATGACCCCTCCCCCCCCAGAGGTCTCAACCTCTAGGTTGAGAAATGCTGTAATAGAGCTACAGTTTGCCACATTTGGGCTGCTCTTTTTTCCATGCATGGCAATGCTTTCACTGCCCGCGCTCCCTTGTGCCCTTTGCTTAACTCATTTTGCACAGAGAAGGGCTCCAGCAGCCTGTCAAGTTCAAGGAGAAACACTGCATTTCCAAGGTGAGGGCTTACAGAGCGGTGGCACAAAGGGCATTTAGGGTAACGATGGTGGCAGAGAGTCTTCTCCTGGGCATTAATGGCTCAGTCTGCAGACATTGGCACCCTTCTGCAAATTAAAGGTCAGAAACAACAATGAGACCCATTAGGTTTAACGACTTGGTTTTGGAGAGAGAGAGGGGCACACTCACAATTGGCTCTGCCAAAAAACAAAAGCACAATGGGCCACGAAAGGGCAACATGACCCCAACCAGAAGGAAAGACAAAATGGCAGAGTCCTACTGGGTGCAGGCAGAGCCTGGAAACATTTCTCATTGAGAGCACCAACTAAACTCGACCACTGAATATCTTGATCGAATACGTCAACTGTTTAGAAATCCTATGGATTCAGTGGAGTTGGTCTAGCTAGATTGAGGGAAAGCGTCGTCCCAGACCTCACCTGAGATATTGTGCCCAAGTCTGGACAAGACTAATTCAAGATATGGGTATGGAGGAGGTGGTAGGGGTCCGGAGAAGGGCCACCAAAATGACAAAGGTCTGGAAGCCATTAATCCCTCTGAGGAGCAGCTGAGGGAGATGCAGATGTTTGGCTTGGGAAAAAAAGATTTTTCTGCCAAAATAAAAACTCTGAGCAAAAGGTAATGCTTTCCCTAACAAGGGTGTTTTTGGCTCCTCCTACAATTTCCCATCCCACAAATTGGGGAAACGTTTTATTTAAAACCTGAGAGCAACGAATGCCATCACATTACAGAACTGGCCAAACATCTGGATTGTTACAAAAAATCCACTTCCCCACCCTCCCTCCTGAAATATTTGAAAAGAATACTGGCTGGCAAGCTTAAAATAGGCAAATACTCTATCTGACACTTGAACCCAACCTAATGTGATGAACACATGTTTAAGTGTAGCACTCAGTGGAATTTAATAAATGTGATGAAGTGGTAGGATTTGATGATTTCGTGATCTGAGCCTGCCCGTGCCCCCTTTGGGTTGGCAGAAGGTGGGCTGCCGATGGCAGGGACCTCTGACGGGCCGCTTCTCTCCTTGCAGGGCCCGATGGGCGAGTGGCACCTCCTGGGCCGGCTGCTGGAGAGCGCGCAAGAGCACTCAACGGAGGTGGGCAAGGTCTGGCTGACGGTGCTCTTCATCTTCCGCATCCTGGTCCTGGGGGCAGCCGCCGAGAAGGTCTGGGGGGACGAGCAGTCCAACTTCTCCTGCGACACCAAGCAACCCGGCTGTCAGAGTGTCTGCTACGACCAGACTTTCCCCATCTCCCACGTCCGCTTCTGGGTACTGCAGATCATCTTCGTCTCCACCCCAAGTCTGGTCTACTTGGGCCACGTCCTGCACCTGGTGCGCAAGGAGGAAAGGGAGCGGGGTCGCTCTGCGGCTGGCAACCCCCTTCGTGACCCCTGTGGCCGGATTCGCCTACAAGGGGCTGTGCTGCAGACCTACCTCTGCAACGTTGTCTTCAAGGCCTTGCTGGAGGTGGGCTTCATCCTTGGTCAGTATTTTCTCTACGGCTTCGGCCTGCAGCCCCTCTACACCTGCAGCCGCTGGCCCTGCCCCAACGCTGTCAACTGCTACATCTCGCGGCCTACCGAGAAGACCATCTTCATCCTCTTCATGCTGGCCGCGGCCTGTCTCTCACTCCTCCTCAACGTGGTGGAGGTCTGCCATGTGCTCCGAGCCAAATGCCGCAGAGCAGGACAGAGGTCCCAAGCTGAGCCAGAGGTCCTGGCAGAGGCAGAAGAAGAAGTCCCGGCCCACCTTCCCGGGGGCAAAGACACCGTTGCCGGCATCAGAAGCCCAAACTGGGACCAACACCAGAAGCGAGGCAACAAGTACAGCAAGTCCAGTGCAAAATGGAGACCGAGTGATTTGGCTGTTTGAGGCAGTGGTTCTCAACCTTCCCATTGCCATGACCCCTTAATACAGTTCAAGATGTTGTGGTGACCCCCAACCATAGCATAATTTTCATTACTACTTTCATAACGGTAATTTTGCTACTGTTATGAATTGTAATGTAAATATCTGATATGCAGGATGGTATTTTCATTCACTGGACCAAATTTGGCACAAATACCCGATAAGCCCAAATTTGAATACTGGTGGGGTTGGGGGGGGGTTGATTTTATCATTTGGGAGTTGTAGTTGCTGGGATTTATAGTTAACTTACAATCAAAGAGCATTCTGAACTCCACTAATGATGGAATTGAACCAAACTTGGAACAAAGAAGTCGGATGATGTACAGAAAATACTGGAAGAGTTGGTGGGCATTGATTTGGAGATGTAGTTCTCCTACATCCAGAGAGCACTGTAGACTCAAACAATGATAGATCTGGACTATACTTGGAACAAATACTCAATATGCCCAAATGTGAACACTGGTGGAGTTTGAGGAATATAGACCTTGACATTTGAGAGCTGTAGTTGCTGGGATTTATAGTTCACCTACAATCAAAGAGCATTCTGAACTCCATTAATGGAATTGAACCAAACTTGGAACAAAGAAGTCAGAGCCAACAGAAAATACTGGAAGAGTTGGTGGGCATTGATTTGAGATGTAGTTCACCTACATCCAGAGAGCACTGTAGACTCAACAATGATGGATCTGGACCAAACTTGGCAAAATACTCAATATGCCCAAATGTGGACACTGGTGGAGTTTGGGGAAAGTAGACCTTGATATTTGGGAGTTGTAGTTGCTGGGATTTATAGTTCACCTACAATCAAAGAGCATTCTGAACCCCTTCTCACACATAACCTCCATGCCTTGAAGGGATTCGCTGGTGTGAGTCTCCCTCCAGCTTTGCATGCTCTCCCTCACCCACACATGCACACCACATTGCTATGTGCTGAGCACACCTGCTCTCCCCTCCCCTCTTGAAGTCTCAGAAACAGCCCTCCCCTTGGCTGAGAGGCCGGCCAATCACAGCGGAGGAGGGCTTTTGGTTGGAGGATATACTAGGATTAGTATATCCTCCAACCCTTTTTCCTAGTTCCAACAGACCTCACTACCTCTGAGGATGCTTGCCATAGATGCAGGCGAAACGTCAGGAGAGAATGCCTTTAGAACATGGCCATATAGCCCGAAAAAACCTACAACAACCCAGTGATTCCGGCCATGAAAACCTTCGACAATACATTGATTTGTTGTCTGTTTCCAAAAAAGGAAGAGAAGGACAGGTGGAGAGATCTTCAGCCTTCTCTGCCAAAGGGGTTCCTAAGACTATCAGAAATATATGTTTTCTGATGTTCTTTGGCAACCCCTCTGTAACCCCCTTGTGACCTCCCAGGGGTCCCAACCCCCAGGTTGAGAAATACTGGTGTAATCCACTAATGAGCTCCCCTAATTTTGACTAAAGTTAGATAGGCATCTTTCAGGAATTATTTATGGCAAAATAGGGTTGGACTAGATGGCATTTGTGATCACCTTCCAGATCCAGGATTGGATGACTCTGACTTGAAGGTCTGATGCTTTGCCTGTGGCTTTTTTCCAAAGATTGACAGGAGCAAAGATACGTTGTTGTAGTTTTTTTTCGGGCTATATGGCCATGTTCTAGAGCAGTGGTTCTCAACCTTCCTAATGCCGCGACCCCTTAATACAGTTCCTCATGTTGTGGTGACCCCCAACCATAACCCTAACATTATGAATCGCCATGTAAATAATGATCTGCAAGGATGTATTTTCATTCACTGGAGCAAATTTGGCACAAATACCCGGTATGCCCAAATTTGAATACTGGTGGGGTTGGCGGGGGATTGATTTTGTTATTTGGGAGTTGTAGTTGCTGGGATTTATAGTTAACATGTAAACAAAGAGCATTCTGAACCCCACCAACAATGGAATTGAACCAAAGTTGGCACAGAGAACTCCCATGATCAACAGAAAATACTGGAAGGGTTTGGTGGGCGTTGACCTTGAGTTTGGGAGTTGTAGTTCGCCTACATCCAGAGAGCACTGTGGGCTCAAACCATGATGGATCTGGACCAAACTTGGCATGATACTCAATATGCCCAAATGTGAACACTGATGGGGTTTGGGGAAAATAGACTTTGACATTTGGGAGTTGTAGATACTGGGATTTATAGTTCACCTACAATCAAGGAGCATTCTGAATCCCATCAATGATAGAATTGGGCCAAACTTCCCACACAGAACCCCCATGACCAACAGAAAATACTGTGTTTTCTGATGGTCTTTGGCGACCCCTCTGACACCCCTTCGCGACCCCCTCAGGGGTCCCGACCCACAGGTTGAGAAACACTGTTCTAGAGGCATTCTCTCCTGATGTTTCGCCTGCATCTATGGCAAAGATATCTGAAGGAGGTTTGTGGAGACTGTGGGCTCAAGGTGGCCGCGGCTGCCCTCCAGCGGCCAGAAAGCAGCACGACTGACCCCCCCAAAGTGACCCAGGGCCCTTCCAAGGCAACATGTAAATAAAGCTGGACTTTGGCCTGGAGTTGCCAGCACATCCTTGGCTTATTTTGCTCCTCCACGAAACATCTTCTGAAACCTATTGCACAAGACAAGCATGCATTCTGTGTGTCTTGCAATGGGTTTTCCCCGTTTCAGGAGTTTGTGATGAAAAAAAATGGGCATTAAAACATTTTCAACACAACAGATGCTGCTTTCTTTGTCCGAGATGTTTTCTTTGGCATGAAGTCCCTAAATCTTGTGTTGAGATGCTTGATTATAAGGAAGAGGCACAATATAAGGATTCTTAAGGATGTAACTATGGGCAAGAGACAGTACAAAAATATTCCCCAAGTAAGAAATGTCCCATGTATTGTCAAAGGCTTTCATGGTGGGAATCACTGGGTGACAGTGAGTTTTCCAGGCTGTAAGGTGATGTTCCAGAAGCATTCTCTCCTGACGTTTCACCTACATCTATGGCAGGCGTCCTCAGAGGTTTTGAGGTCTGATGGAAACTAGGCAAGTGGGGTTTATATATCTGTGGAATAATGTCCAGGATGAGAGAAGGAACTCTTGTCTGTTTCAGCCAAGTATGAATGTTGCAATTGGCTGCCTTGATTAGCACTGAATAGCCTTGCAGCGTCAAAGTCTGAATGCTTCCTGCCTGGGGGAAATTCTTTGTTGGGAGATGTTAGCTGGCCCTGATTGTTTACTGTCTGGAATTCCCCTGCTTACTGAGTGTTCTTCTTTATTTACTGTTCTGATTTTAGAGGTTTTTTTAATACTGGTAGTCAGATTTTGTTCATTTTCATGGTTTCTTCCATGCTGTTGAAATTGTCCACAGGCTTGTGGAGTTGTGAAATGGCTTTTCTATGGAGTCTGATATGATAGTTGCTCGAGTGGTCCAGCATTTCCGTGTTCTCAAATAATATGCTGTGCCCAGGTTAGTTCAGAAAACAGGGGAATTCCAGACAGGAAACAATCAGGGCCAGCTAACACCTCCCAACAAAGGATTCCACACCAGGCAGCAACCAGCCAGACTTTGAAGCTGCAAGGTTATTCAATGCCTTTTAAAAAATATTTTATTTCAAAAAGATAATACACCAACCATAAATATTGAAGCTGCAAAGCCATTCAGTGCTAATTCAGGTGGCCAATTGCAACATTCACATTTCCCTCCAACAGACAAGGGTTCTTTCTCCCACACTGGACATTATTCCACCAATATATAAACCCCACTTGTCTTGTTTCCAACAGACCCCTCAACCTCTGAGATGCCTGCTATAGATGTGGGCGAAACATCCGGAGAGAATGCTTCTGGAACATGGACATACAGGCCGGAAAGCTCACAGCATTCCAAGAAATGTCCCGTCAGTTCCCATATTTTTTGCAGTGCAGAGAAAACTTTTTAATTCCAAATATTTCTATTTGTTACGGCAGCATTCCCTTGGTTTATTTCCTACCTTTTTTTGGATTTCTCAGTTAACCAGAACTCTCAAGCAACTAGGAAAAAAACCCAGAAGAAATGCTGCTTTGCATTTTAAAAAGCTGCTTTTATAAGACAGTAAAACAGTGTTATGTCAAGCTCGTCTTTGTTTTTAATTCCTGTATTTCAATATGAATCTCACTACAAAGCGGTATGGTATGGCCGGGGAGGGGGGGGGGGTACAGTATGAGTTACATCTGTTTTGAATAGTAACTCCCAGGCAACCAGAAATTATATATCCAGAATAGGCAAATCCCCAGGAGTGCTGGTTAAGTGAGAAGCTATTGTAAAAAAAGGTTTTCCCCTGACATTAAGTCCAGTCATGTCTGACTCTGGGGTGTGGTGCTCATCTCCATTTCTAAGCCGAAGAGCCGGCGTTGTCCGTAGACACCTCCAAGGTCATGTGGCCGGCATGACTGCATGGAGCGCCGTTACCTTCCCGTACCTATTGATCTACTCACATTTGCATGTTTTCGAACTGCTAGGTTGGCAGAAGCTAGGGCTGACAGTGGAAGCTCACGCCGCTCCCCAGAATCGAACCTGCGACCTTTCGGTCAACAAGCTCAGCAGCTCAGCGCTTTAACCCACTGCGCCGCCGTAGGCTCCCACGAGAAGCTATTGTACCCATTCACAAACATTACACTATGTAATAGTCTTGTGCTTTTCTACAGGATCACTATCCATTTTGGTTTGTTTTATTTGTAAGGCCCTGTTTTTGTTTTCGAAATGGGTGCCTTTCCAAATGAGATTTTCCGTCCAAGTTCCAAAAAAACCCAAATATTTTCAGCCCATTGGTGACCAAGCATCAGGGCCTATAGCCTAATGCCAAGTAAGAGGCACTCGGTGGTAGCGCCCTGGCAGGATCTACCACCGAGCGCCAAGTGCCTGGCATGCTTAGCTGTAGGCCCTGGTAAGGCTTACAGCTGAGCACACCAAATAAGCCAAGTGCTGAAAATCAGCCAACCAGTTACCGTCCCCACTTATATTTAATTTCACAATTCTTTTCCAAACAGGAGGGGGATGTACCGTTTCGCGCCATCCGAATGAACGGTACAAAATGTAAACACGAAAGAAAAAAATGAGACAAATGCCTGGCGTATGACTACTATGCAAGACGATTTGGTTATACATGTCATTCCCTAATTAGTTCTATCATAAAAAAAAAAACATGAGGAAAAAGTTTATTAAACTGCAAAAACTTTGTCTTTGTGGGAGG